AGTCCGGTAGGGAGTACGACTTAGTGATGCCCTTCGCACGACAGAACTGTCCAAGCCGACCAGAGGCGAACTCGCCGCCACGGTCGGAGTGGAGACACAGCACCGGGAGACCGCGGTGAAGGTAGGCAGCCACGACCCACGGGATAAGAACGTCAGGCACGTCCGCCTTCCGATCCAAAGGAAACACCGTGGTGTAGCGTGTATAGTCGTCCACGAGCACTTGAAAGTAGCGCTCACGACGCGGTCTGGGGACGGGGGCTGGGCCCCAGACGTCCAGGTGCAGGGTCTGAAGGGGTGCGGTGGCAGGACTAAGCGAGGAGGAGTGAGGAGCACAGCGCAGCTGGCCCTCTACGCAGGGCATACATGGCGATGTAGGCGAGGGAGGGAGGGCAGGAAGCGACGCAGGAAAACCTAGGACGAGACTGTGCTGGAACATGTGATGCAGGCGCGGTAATGCGGGGTGACCTAGGCGGTGGTGCCACAGAAGCGACGGGTGAGTGAGCGACCGCCACAAGCAAGCCGCGACCTGGGTAGACGAAGGGCCCAGGGAGGACGGGCCAACTGGGGGGGGAGCAGTGTCCAGCGTAGACAGGCCAGACACTGGGTCCCAGGGGAAACTCGCAAGGGGGGAACCTGAGGCGGCCTCGGTACAGTCAGCGTACCGCTTGTGACCAGGAAACGTAGTGGTGACACCGAGGTCCTGAAGACAGCCGACACCAACTATTGTAAGTTCTTGGAGAACGAGGGGATGTGGAGGCCTGTAAGGGAGCCTGAGGGGACCGCTGGACAGGGGAGGATAGTGTAGCTGCGAGCAACGACAGGACCAGACAAGGGGTCAGCAAGTGCGACAGCGGAAGGCGTGGCAAGCGGCATGAGTGGGGCGTGGTCACGGAAGAAGCAGGCACATGCACCGGAGTCAAGTGTGAAGGAGTGCGAAGCAGTAGGAGCAGACGAAGGAGGAGTGAGTGTGGAGCCTAGGCTAGGCAAAGCAAGCGGTCCAACGCCTGACACAGCAGGGGAGTTTGTACTACACACACGTGCTATGCCTAAGCTAGAGAACATAGGGTAATAAGATCCGGACACACTAGAAGTGTCAGCGTACAGAGAATGCATGGGAGAACTAATCTGATCCATGTCTAAGTCAAAAACAGGCACACTGTGGCACTGCAGGCTGGGCCAATCAGGGAGGTCCGGAGCCGGGCCGAAGCGGTGACGAAAGAGGTCGTCGAGGCGGCGGAAGCAGCGGGCGATCGGGTGCGGGCGGCCACACAGAGTGCCATGGAGGGGCCCGATCTGGAGCTGGTACTGACAGCCCGCTGCACCGAAGCCGCCGGTAGACGCCAAGCTACGAGGACCGCCACCTTGGCCACCACCTCCAGGGGCTCCCGGCCACCCTGGCAGGAGGCGGGCCCATGGCTGCTGCTGCGGCTGCTGCTGCTGCGGCTGCTGCTGTGACTGCTGCTGCTCCTGGACACCTTTCCCAGCCCCCTCGTCAGAACCACTGTCGTCGCCACCACCACCACCACGCCTTCCCTTGGGGCCTCGATGGCCCTGACGCTGGCGCTGCTGTTGCGGGAAGGCCGCCGCTGCGGTCTCAGGGGCATTAGCAGTCGTAGCCGCAGCGGAAACGTCCGCGTACATGCACTGGGAGGGAGCACAGCCCTGAAAGATAGGTACTGCCACAACACCGCTCGTTTGAGCGATAGTGCGCTGGCGAGTCTCTATCTCAGAAAGGGCAGCGACAAAGGTGGTCAGGGTGAGGTCACTAGGGTGCTGGCTAAGGAAGTGGTCTCGGGCGGTGGCTAAGCGGTCAGGCAGGCGCATGGCAATAAGGTACTGGTTAGCGCAGACTGGTGGGGGGAAGGCAGTGAGCTGTGCAGTAGTGCTAGCGGCACGGTAGCTAGTCTCTAGTGTACGGAGGTGAGTGGCGAGATCAGCAACAGTGGAGAAAGTAGAGATATCGGGGAAGAGCATGGGGAGGAGCATGCGGCCAGCTGAGGCGGAGGCAGGCATGGAGTAGCGTGCAACTACTGCATCTAGGAAATCCTTGGCGTTCGCGACATTAGTGAAACATGGCATGACTAATGGCAAGCTGCACTACAGCATCGCGAGGATCCCAGACAGCGCGAGCGAGTGCAGCAGCAGCAAAGGCCTCACTCTCAGCAGTGGTGGGGTCAGCAGGGAGGGGATCAGGGGCAGAGTGGCGAGGAAGCAAGCCATCAACATGCATAGCCAGGGAGTGCCCATCTTGGCGCTGACCTGTCAGGTGCCGGCGGAGATCGACAAGCCAGGCGGCGAAAACGATCGCGTGCCCCTCCCCGTCCAGAAAGAGCATGGCGTCCGCCATCGCGCAACCACAGCGGCACCGGGACACAGCGGCACAGCGGCACAGGGACACGGCGGCACAGCGGCACGGGGACTCAGCTGCACAGCGTGATAGCGACGCGGCGGAAGGACTCTCCGGAACTGTAACGAACGGAAGGCCGAGGAGAGCGCGCGAGGAGTCGAGGCGCACAAGGGGGCCGGTGTGTGGAGAGGGGACGTCAGGGCGCATGTGGCCGGCGGTGCGCAGGAGAGGGGGCCAGCTAGGTGGTAGGGGGCGGCTAGGTGGTAGGGGCCGGCTAGGCGGTAGGAGCCGGCTAGGCGGTAGGGGCCGGCTGGGCGCTAGGGGCCGACGAGGCGCGATGGGCCGGATAGGCGCGAGGGGCCGGCAAGGTGCAAGGGGCCACCTAGGGCGCGAGGGGCCGGTCAGGCGCGAGGGGCCGGTGAGGCATGAGGGGCCAGCTAGGGTGCGAGGGGCCGGTCAGGCACGAGGGGCCAGCGACTGCACGAGGGGCGGGCGACAGCGCTTGGGGCGGGCGACGGCGCTTGGGGGGGGGGGGCAGCTAGGGCACGATGGGCCGGCTAGGCACGAGGGGCCGGTGAGGCATGAGGGGCGGGCCGGCTGGTCGCGAAGGGGCCGGCTGGGTGCTAGGTGCGGGCGACGACACGAGGGGCCAGCTAGGGCGAGAGGGGCCAGCTAGGGCGTGAGGGGCGGGCCGGCTGGTCGCGAAGGGGCCGGCTGGGTGCTAGGGACGGGTGACGGCGTGAGGGGACAGCGAAGGAATGAGGGGCTGGCAACGGCGCGAGGGGCAGGCCGGCTGGTTGCGAAGGGGCCGGCTGGGTGCGAGGGTCCGGCTAGGAGGCAAGGGGCCGTCTAGGGCGCGAGGGGCCGACTAGGGCCCGAGGGGCCGGCGACAGTGCGAGGGGCCGGCTAGGGCGCCAGGGGCCAACCGGCACGCTAGGGGCTGGCTACGGCGCTAGGGGACGGAGGGCACGCTAGAGGCCGGCGGGTGCGTTAGGGGCCGACGAGGCGCGGAAGGCTAGGGCGCGGGGCGGAAGCGGGTGGGGGGGACCTAACCTACGCATGATACCATGATAGAATTCTAGAATAATTTGAAACAAGGGAGAACAGGAGAGATATAGTGTTGGGGCTGTACCCACTAAGAACATACACCTTTCTAGCCTATAACTTCTACATAACATAATATGTATAAGTTGACAGGGAGTATGCTGCGGAAGCGTGATGAGAAGGCTCAGCAAGATCATCCTGCTCTAAAACCATGTTGCGAGAGGTTTTAACTAGGTAGGAAGAGTGTGAAATGATGAGGCTTGCCGAATCTGTGATCACAACCATTTGCTATTTGTTATATATTGTGTGATAATGTGTGTTCTTCCTTTTCTGGAAATCCCTACACTCTTTCGTATACATTGATATATTATATATCAATTGTATTATGGAGTGTTTTGGACTTTCCTTGCATGACACGTTTTCTATTGCGTGGAGTGTTCCGTCACTGTCACCATATCTCCAGAATCTCTACCGTGCTTCTAGGCGGTGTTCCTACGGACGGTTCCACTCAGTTCTTGAACTCAATAGGAAGGTCCTAGTTACCCTTCCCTAGAGTTCTCGTAGGTATAAATAGCATTGAATCTTTGCTTGTAGACATTCAATTCATGATTAGTATCATTCAAGCTTCCGCTAAATCCTGGACTTGTGACAAAGAGAATAGCGAGAGAAAAGAGAGGTCGACTAGGGGAGAGAGAGAGAGAGAGAGAGAGAGAGAGAGAGAGAGAGAGAGAGAGAGAGAGAGAGAGAGAGAGAGAGAGAGAGAGAGATGTTGTGTGATGTCATCATATGCTATCACATTCTGTCTGCCTCCCATCTCTTGTTTCAATTCGCATGTGTGGTTTGAACGTCTGAAAGAATTTGTGTGGTGTGTTCTGGAGTTTGGGAATGTGTTTTGTGTTATTTTTGTTTGAGCAGGTATTTTTTATGATAGATCTTGAGAATATCTTTCCGACGCAACAAGAATCGCTTCAATCGGAGCAAGAACGCGAAAGCTATGAAGATTCAAAGTTCATGAGCTTGTGTTACAATTGCGACGGTTACAAAATGAAGTTGTGGGGTGACTCTATATGGAGTTGGGACCTTTGGGGGTTTGGGAAATTTGTCACTCTGGTGTAACAGCTGCAAATTGGTTGGGAACAACCAAGCTAGGTTGGCAAGGGTGGCCAACTTGGATGGATTGGTTGGGAAGGGACAAATGTCAAAGTTGGGGTTCCTATAGGGAGGGAATCTTTGTGCTTATGGGGTTTCCTTGGTTGGGGACTCTCTTGGGACCTTCCCTCTCATCCCTCTCTTCTATCCCAACCTTTTCTCTTGCTCCTCTAATTTACTTGTGAGATTCTTGAACTTTGATTGAACTTTTGAGATTGAGTCAAGTTCTCCTCCTACAGCTTACCCCCTAATGCGTCGAAAGCCATAGCGTCGCGAATACTTTATCAATCAACGTGATTCAAGTTGGGAACGGTAGCTGAGATTAAGAGCTACAACATATCCAAGTTTCGCGACATTCCAATGGCTAGTTTTTGTCGACGTCGTTTCTTGTGAAGACGACTATTCTGTCCAGAATTTCGGATTTATATTTTGAGTAATTCTAGCTCCTAAGTTCACCTAGACTCCGTTCTTAATCCTAACAATAGAGAGAGAGAGAGAGAGAGAGAGAGAGAGAGAGAGAGAGAGAGAGAGAGAGAGAGAGAGAGAGAGAGAGAGAGAGAGAGAGAGAGAGAGAGAGAGAAGAGAGAGAGAGAGAGAGAGAGAGAGAGAGAGAGAGAGAGAGAGAGAGAGAGAGAGAGAGGAGAGAGAGAGAGAGAGAGAGAGAGAGAGGTACACGAATTGGGTTGTCCTCTCTACAGTAGGATCTAGTCATTTGTAGAACATCTACGAAGCCTACACAAATATATGTAAAATATTTATACGCTGACAGGCATGGCACAACATTTTGATACATTTTTCGCCTTTTTTATTTTCGAGAAGTGTACTGCACTTAAACGCATCCTAAAAAAGCCCGTTCACACTGCATAAGCCCATGGGCTTAATAAATTGTTGCGCTTATCCGGGTGTACATAGTACAGGGTGTTATTTTGCTTGTGGGTTGTACTCTCTAAGAGCATGCACCAATCTAGCCTATAACTACTAATATTAATGTTGACACACCCCCTTGGCTAGACAAGGGGCAGTGCCTAGGAAGAAACACGCAGCTCAGGGTGGCACTACTAGTCCAACCTCTGAGGTAAGGGTCTGAAGGTCAGTCAGCAAGAGTACAAACTAAAGAAGTGTAAACCAGGGTGGCATTACTAGTCCAGCCACTGGAACTCGAGCCACAAGGCCAGTCAAGATAATATAAGGACCCATGTGCAACAATTTATTACGTAAGCAATAAACTTTTGCATTGTACAGCTTGTTTGATGGGACAGAGGGGGGGCACCTATGATTGAAATGAGGCTTAGATTCTTATCCATCGTACGTCGACAATCGAAAAGGTCACGATTCTGTTTGGTTGCGATGGCTGTCTGCCCCATTCGCTGGCACTCGTGCGGCATCTTGCCTGGTCCTTACAGCAAGGAGCTTTCGTCAGGGGGAAAGGACAGTCAAATTTGAAACTCAAATTTCACACGTAACTCAAAATTTCCACTGGAAAATATATCGAAAAACCTCTTTTTGCTCTAAAGTGGAGGGCCCTCAAAAAATTTAGGTCAAAATCAGGGTCCTCACATGTTGTCACAATTTTCTAAGACCCCTCTCTAGAATGAAGCCCCTGGATGGCTTTTTCGTGGGGGTACTTTTGTCGGGAGATTACGGTAGTACACAATCAAGAACCTAGCAAGTGAGGAGCTACTGGAACTACACCAAGCTGTGCACAGTGCCGCTGATGAACTTTAGGCACAAGCGCCTTAGTAAAGATATCAGCTGTGTTGGCACCGGAGGCCAAGTCTACTACGCGGGCCTGGCGGCGCTGCTGTAGCTGGCGCAAGAGGAAGTACCGCAGCTGGATGTGCTTCGCTCTACCCTCTAGTCGAGGCTCCTAACACAGACTAGGGCGGAAGCGCGGGTGGGTGGGGAGGACCTAAACTATCGCATGAGACCATATCAGAGTTAACGAATGACTAGAATGAGTGATATAAGGTGGTTTTTTCCTAAGTGTTGTACTCTCACCTATGTAGCCTACAACATATACAAATATATGTTGACAGAGAGCTGGTTCGCGGGCATTGTGCAGATTCGGCTCTTTCAATAAAAACAAAAGGCTAAAATAGCAATGGGGGGGCTTCAAGTGCACCGCTCTTGAAAGTTGGGGAACTTGAAAAAAGCTGGGGTGCTAGTGCGAAACTGCCATAAGAAGTTTGGGGCAAACTGCCAGTTTTTAACCACAATATTACGCACCTACTCGGGGTTGGGCGATATTGAAACGAGTGCGACGAGGCGGTGAAGCCATGCGCGACAGACCAAAATTTCCGCCAAAATGGCGAGAGAGGAATTCGATTGTAGTCGGGGCATGTTTAGTTTCGATCTGGTCCCACGCCAAGTTACGCGATAAGCAAAACTCTGACGAAACATGCATAGAGAGGGGACTACCTGCGTCAACATGCGTGATGCGAGAACGGGGTTCTGAACAGGTTGACATCAGAAGGCCGCGTAAACCCTTGAGATCCTTGGGGAATGGTCACAGGTGCAGAGCCTGGGGGGTTATGGGCACACTTACCTGCTACTTAACAATCCGCTATTCTGAAATTGTTGTCAGCGTACAAGAGCGGGGCAGAGCTAGGCCGCTCACCTAAGCTTGTGAGCAGGAACGTCAGCCTGCAGAGCTCCTATGCTGCCACGGCACCAGCGTAGATCTCGGCCTTACAGCTAGATTGTGCAACAGACGACGAGCGAGTGGACCTCCACGAGATAGCGCCTGCACCAAGGCTAAAGTAGTATCCCTGGGTGGACCTGAGTGTCTCAGCGTCGTCCGCCCACGAAGTGTCTGTGTGCCCTATGAGAACCACTTGCCAGCGTCCTTCCAGCACTAGCCTCATGCACGATGTTCTTGCTAGATAGCGCAAAACCCTCTTAGCGGCCGACTAGTGCTGGGGTTAGTGTCCGCCTGTTGCCACAAAGCAAGCCAGGATACTAAGAGGGTATGCGGGATCTGGACGAGTGCAAGTCATTAGGTACATGAGGCAGCCCACAAGCTCTGCGTATGGACCACTAGGCTCAACCGACTCGTCAGGGGCTGGAGCCGAGAGCCTGTGATCTACTGGCAGAGGTGTAGGCTGTGCGGAGGAGAATTGAAGACTGAACCTCTGAAGGATCTGGCGCACCGAGTGTGACTGTGTGAGAATGATGGTGCACGCTGCTCTGTCCCTAGAGCGCGGCTTAGGAGGGGCTGGCAAACTGGGGCGGCACGACACCACGGGGCGGGTGGCAAGCTGGGCGGCACGGCGAGCTGGAGCCGGCTGCGAGTCGCGGAGGCACGGCAAGCTGAGGCCGGCGACGGGGCGGGTTGCAAGCAGGGGCAGCGCGGCAGGCGAGGTCGGCGACGAAGCAGGCGGTGCAGCGAGCTGAGGCCGGCTGCGGGCCGGCATCGAGCAAGGGGCCGGCGCGAGCTGAGCTGGGGCCGACAAGCTGGGGCCGACGAGCCGGGGCTGGCGAGAGCTGGTGCCGGCGGGGGTTGGGGCCAGCAAGAGTTGGGGCCGGCGAGATGGGGCCGACGAGCCGGGGCCGGTGCGAGCTGGGGCCGGCGAGGGTTGGGGCTGGTGCGAGCTAGGGCTGGAGAGTTGGGGCCGGCGAGTTGGGGCCGATGATCTGGGGCCAGCGCGAGCTGACTAGGGGCCGCGCAGCGCGCGAGGGGCCGGCAGCAAGCTAGGGGCCAACGGCAGGCTAGGAGTCGCGCAGCGAGCAAGGGGCCGACGGCGAGCTAGGGCGGTGCGACTAAACGAGGCGGAGGAGGCTAGGGTGAAAGCGCGGGTGGGGAGACCTAACCTAGTCTGATACCATCTCAGAATAGCAAATTGAACTAAGCAAGGGCATACATGGTATTATTTTGCTTCTGGGCTGTACTCGCTAAGAGCACGCACCAATCTAGTCTATAGATACAAATATAGAAGTTGATATTGGTCACCTCATTTTGTACCTGACAATGTGGCCCATTTGCTTGCCCCGTCGTCAAGTATACCAGCAGAGTCAGAGCAAAACAACTAATCAACGAGTGCTGCAGGCCTCGTCCTTGATGCCTCCAATCAGTGGGCGGCGGCGGAAGTTCGTTTTGGTCAGAGCGCGCGAGAGTCAATAATTGATAATGGGATTTCGAAGTTTCTGTGACTTTTTCGTTCGGGCAAATTCAGTTTTCCTAACTGCGACCAAGGCTGACGTTTCAAAAAAGGGCACTTTGAGCCAACCCCCCGACATTTTTGTTAGCTTGGTCGCATAAATTTATGAAGCTGCTGGTGTAGTCCTGGACCGATCCGAGTTGGCGCCATGTGCGAAGGCGGTTGCGAGCTTGACTGCTTGCATTGACATGTTCGAAGCGGCGATGAATTCCCGCGCACCACGATTGCCACGTGCTGTACACGTCCACCTCGCAATAACTTCCTGCCCAGTTATTGGTCGTGCAAAAATGCCCGATCACGCGCGGCATCGTATCTGGCTCTTGCGAATGAATTATCTGCTGCCACCAATCCATCGCCGGTCCATGTAGGAGCGATACAGCGTATCGGTTTTTTTTGCGCATCGTCGACGACAAGGTTGCAGTCTTAAAAAACATTCAGCTGAAAAATCCACTCGCTGACGGACAAACTGCCACGTTGGCTTCGGTCAAATGTGGGCAGCCCCTGCGTCTTAAGAATTCCCGGCACCATGTTGATGTTTGCATTCTGCAGGCCCGTTGGAGAGGTAATTGGGGGCGGCAGATTTACGTTCATCCTTTCGCCAACTTCTGCTCTTCCAATGGTTGGTGGCGGGTTGTTTGTCGAACCCTTGGGTGAAGCTGCATGTGGTCGCTGATTGTCACCAGGTATTTCGGAACGTTGTTGCTTTTGCTGTCCTTGATTTGTCGTTGGTGCGATCATGTCGTGTCGTGTCTGAGGCAGTCGGCCCTGAAGTACAGATATCTCAGATTCCGCTTGAGCCATTTCAGCTCGCAGCTGCACCAACTCTTGCTGGTAAAACTCGTGAGTAAGACGGATTTCTTCAAGTGATGCCGCCCTTTCTTTAGGAGCCATGGCGGTAGACGCGCTGATGGATCCACCATTCCGCAGAAATGTTTGGGCGGCTTTCAGCACGCTGGCACTGCGAACATTGTCGTGGCTATAAACGTATACTCGGTGGAGTTACCACTTATGTATTCTTGATATGTTACTTAGACTGTACTAGTAGCGCGATCCCTCATATGGAAGGACACGCGTAATGTTGTCAGCAGTAGCAAGTCAATGCGTGAACAGTAGGTTTGTGCGTATAATCACCCGAAGGGTCACGCCACCCTCAGTCATACGAACAGCCACTAGTCATGTCACGCGAACAGTCGCGATACACTACGAACAGGTACATCCCAAATACATGCTTCCTAGATTATAAATATGCATGTACTACTCATTATTATTATCCTTGTCATTTCAGACATTTCCAATACAAGGTGTAAAGTTTTTCGCTGACTTTTACTCGTGGTTCCACCAACTCTAGATCCTGGCCACCCTAAACGCTTGGTTCATTTCAACATGGTGTAAAGTCTTCCGCTGGATTTAACTCGTGGTTCCACCAACTCTAGATCATGGCCACCCTAAACTCGTGGTTTTCTATAACATGGTATGAAAGCAAGTGGAGTTACATGAATCGATACAAGCTGGTTTCGATTATGCCCTT